TTGCCGCTGAGCTAAATCCCCAGCCCCCTAGTTTCATTTTAGTCTCTTTACCCTTTGTGCTTATGGAATAACTTTCTTAAATTTGTTTGCTTAGATATTTTGATAACTGCATTAAAGTTTTTTATTTAGTGTCTGACAATTTAGCGTATTGAAGATAAAGTATACACATATCATGGATCTTTACACTGTCTGTTTTTTCTTCTGATACTCTGTACTACCTTCTGGAACAGTTTCATTTTATATGCAGAACTCTCACTAGTCAACTACTCTGTCTTTTTTCCTTTGATGACATAAATGACACCGCTACTAGGTTTTTTATATTACCCCACAAGTATGTAAGGCTCTGTTTATTTTGGAAGGTAGTCTGTTTTCTCTCTGATGTACAATTTGTAAAGCCTATTGCTTTATCTTCAGATTCATTGATTATTTGTTCTGTCTCCTTCAGTGCCTTTGAGTCTAAAGTTTTTTTTTATTTTGATTATTACATATTTCCTTTTTTTTACTTTTACCTTGGTTCTGTTTTTTAAACTTGTATTTATTTGACAAACTTCTCTACATTAATCCTTTCACATGAATTTGTAATTGATTTATTAAGCCATTTTTGTTATAATTGATTTATCTTGTTAGACAGTTCTATTTTATTCATCTCAAGTGTTTGTATCTGTTGCGTTATTTCACTCAAGTTATGATTTTCCTAGTTGATCATATGATGAGAGTTTTTTGTTTGCATCCTGGAGTATGATGTTTGGGGACATTAGGTCCTGTTTAAGTCATCTACTTTAGCCAGTAGTCACCCGGTTGAGGCTTGGCACGCGGGGCCTGGCTAACTTTTGTGACTCAAATGACAGTTTCTAGAGTCCTTGCAATGCTATTCTGGTTTGCTTCGTTTTTTATGCTATTTAGAGGCCACTCTGGAAACGTTGGTAGTATTCCAAAATTTATATGAGTTATGAAATCTTCTAGCATGCGTGTTCTAATAAGTCTCATACTTTAGTTAGTCAGGTCTGCTCATATTTTCCTTTGCAATTTAAAGAATTTCTTCATCTCTCTCCTTTCTGAGACCCTCATGTTATAGTTGTGCTTGTGGTAGGTGTTGCCTGTCACTTCCTTCTTTAAGGAAACTTACACCCTGCTTGGTTTTGGCTGTCATCACTAGAGATGGAAAAAAAATATCTTTTTAGATTGACTCCTTGCACTGACTGGAAGTCACATGTAGATTCTCATTCACCACAGACAAATGGAAGGGAGGAAAAAATCCCTTCCAAGATCCCCTACTAAAACTTCCTCCCTGACTGCATGTTGTCGGTGGGAGACGCAAGGGCCTTTTCTTAGTTACCTGCTGCTGCTAGACTGGAGTAGGAGATCACACTTCCTGGGAGGCATCCATTGCCTACAGCGATGGCACAGGAAAACACTTTGGACTTCTGGCTGCCACGGGGCCGTGGGGATCAGGAGACCAGACTCAGCTGGATGAAGGGTCATCATCCATAGTATTTATCTAAAAGTAGCATGAATATATAAAAATGTTTTCCATTCAGATGAATTCCCTCTTTCCTAGATCTGTGATTTTGGTTTACAACCAGTATTTGAACATGTGTCTTAACCTTGGAGTTTGTCTTCAGATTTACTTATGGGAAGACTTCAATGAGATTTACCAGATTTTTAGACAAGAAAATAAACCCGCTTAATAGATGTGAATATTTTGGGGAACATCACTCTGTGGCCCAGCTCCAGTAAATGAGATGTTACTCCTGAACTCTGATTGGTTCTGCTTGCTTATGAATCCTGAATCTACTCTTGCACATTGCATTTCGACATATGAAAACCAAAGTAACAAAATAAAGAGTTCATTATTGTATAGACTTAAAAAGACATGAATATTTATCATTAATAAGTGACAACCCAGCTAGTGAAGACAAACTAAAGAAATATTGTCCTAAGAACAATATTTTGTTACAATGATATGGCAAAAATACCTGCTGCAACAAAATATCAAGCTTTGTAACTAAGTGAATAAATAATGGACCATCCAGAAGGCAAATATTCCACACCACATAAACAAGAATAGCATAAATATTCATAATTATAAATACTTGGTAATTTTGAGATGAAATATATCATATCATGTTAATAAATATGAATGGGGTTCATGCATCTGTTGAATGAAAGTTTGTTCATGTTTTCCTACAACTTAAGGTTCAGCTATACACTTTGTGAAAGAGCAACCCAACCAATAAATATACAGCAAACTACCATTAACAAAAAAGATGGAATAACGAGTGTAAACCAGTCACAAATGGGAAAGGAGAAAAAGAAATGCCAAGAAGGGGGCTAGGGATTTAGCTCAGCAGCACAGTGCTTGCCTGGCAAGCGTGAGGTTGTGAGTTCGAGTCCAGGTATCAGAAAAAAAACAAAAAAAGAAATGCCGAAAAGGAGAATTTATTAAATACTTTAATTAATTTTTTCATTGGTACATGTTTGTAGTACATAATGATTACATTCATTATGGGAAATTGATACATGTAAATGACCTGTCTTAACTCTTTTTCTGTGTAAAGGATCATGTCATTTGCAAATAGGGATATTTTTACTTTTTCCTTTCTTAATTTGTATCTCTTTTCTTTCTTTCTCTTGTCTGATTGCTCTGGCTTACATTTCAAGTACAACATGGAACAAAAGTGATGAGCATAGATGCCCTTGTCTTGCTCCTGATTTCAGAGAGAATGCTTTTACTTTTTCCCCATTTAGTATGATGTTGGCAATAGGTTTGTAATAAATGGCTTTGATTAGTGCAAGGTAAGTTCGATGTATACCTATTTTTATCAAGTTTTTTTTTTTTTTAATCATAAATACACTGCATTTTTGTCAAAGAAATTTTTTCTGCATCTACCTAGATAATCATGTGACTTTTATTGTTTGTTTATCATATATTATGTTTATTGACTTACAACTTGGTCATAAGGTATTGGTCTCTTTAATGATTTGTTGCATTGTGTTTGCAAGTATCTTGTAGAAGATTTTTACATCTACATTCATTAAGGAAATTGGCCTGAAATTTTCTTTTCTTTTATTGAGTCTTTGTACAGTATAGTACCAATGTAATGCTATCTTCTAGGCATGATTTTGAAAGTGGTCCTTTTTATTAATTTAATGGAAGTATTTGAGAAGTATTGGCTTTAGTCATCCTTGAAGTTCTGGTAAAATTCTGCAGTGAATCCATCACATCTATCTCTTTTCTTAGTCAGTAAAATTTTTATTACCGCCTCTATTTTACTCTTACAGGTCTATTCAGGATTTTGATATCTTCTTGGTTCAATCTTGGCAATTCAAATGTGTCTAGGAATTTAGCCACGTCTTAGAGGTTCTTCAGTTTATGAGGATATAAATTTTCAAATTAATTTCTGTAACCTTCTAGATTTTGGTGATGTCTGTTCTGATCCTGCTTTTTTCATTTCTAATTGCACTGGTATCAGTCTTTTTAGTCTTTTGGTAAGTTTGGCTGAAGGTTTGTTAAGTGTTGCTTATCTTTTCAAAGAACCGGCTGTTTAATTAAATGAATTAAATGATTTTTCTTTAACCTCAATTTCATTTAATCCACTCTGATCTTCATAACTTTGTTTCCTTTTATTAGCTTTGTATTTGGATTGTTCTTGTTTTTCTAGGACCTTGAGATACATCATTAGGTTATTACTTGAGATCAGTCTACACTTTTCTTCACCCCTTATGTGCAACTGTTATATTTTTATATTAGTTTTAAAAATAAATTTAAATTAAAACAAATTATTTTAAATAACAACAAGAACTTCAGATTGGGAATGTTTTCATTCTTGACATATTGCAAAATAAGAAAAAGCATGGACTGAAGAGAACAGTAAAGTCGTGGCTGAAAAATAATTTCATAAGATTAATATGAGTATGAATCATTGATCCAATCAGCCATCTCAGCAGAAGCTAAGAACAGAGATGTGATTTTACTAATAAAAGCAGTGCCAGCCAGGACTAACGAAAATGGAAGATCTGGGACAAATATAATATGTTTTGAGTACAGGTTGTCCCTCACAAGAGAATGACCCTGCAGATCTTTCAAGGATGATCAGAAGAGCTACACCCATACAGGTTTATGCTGCAAGCCTGCTTATTCCTTTGGTTTGAAGATTTCAGAGGACCTGGAACTTACAAGATTATACAAGGATGATTCTTCCAGAGAAGAATATGGGTGATAACCTTGCAAAGCCAAACAGGTGAAGCATATTACTACTGATGTTGCCACCCTAGTAGGCTTGAAAGGAAGAGCATCCAACGAAAGAGAAACATCCTAGTGACTTAAATTGTAACGGAGTTTGTCTTGATAACTCTTGAAATGGTTTTGGACATGTAGCCTCTTAAGTCTTTCTTATTTCTCCATTTTTGAACAGGAATATCTGTCCTGCATCTGTTTCAGCATGGCATTTAGGAAATGGCTCCACAGATTCACAGCTGAAAAAGAATTTGCCTCAGGAGGCATTATACCTAAAGACTCATCCATTGAAAACTTAGTAAGGATTTGGCATTTAGATAATGGAATGCATCCTGAAATTCAGTAAGACTTAAGAGTGTTAAATGGAATAGGCACATTTTGCAGATTAGAAGAAGGGAGGAGCAGGACTGGAATTCCATGATCTGAATTGTGTAACCCCAAAATTTGCATATGGAGTTCAAACTACCACTGCGATGTTAGTCAGAGGCTGAGCCTGTGGGAGGTAATTGCTTAGCAGTTCGCTCTTCATGGGTGGTCTCTCCTTTGGGAGTAGTGCCCTTACAAGAGGAAGAACTGAAGAGCTCCCTGGGCCCCTCTGCCAGCCATTATATGAAGCTAACAATATGCAGTATTATAACCATTGCTGATTTCCTATTATCTTGTTTTGAAATTGTGTATCTTTTTTTTTAAATAAAGAAGAAAACCCCGCTTACAAGGCATGAAGAGAGCTTTAAGCAGAAACTGACCATACTGACACCGTGACCTGGAACTTTTAGCCTCAACAATTGCAAGAAAATAAATTTCTCTGATAGACACAAGCCATTCTGGTACCTTGTTAAAGTAGCCTGAGGTGACAAAGACACAGCATGAACCAAAAATCTCCAGAGGTGAGTGTTTATAGCCAACAGAACACTTGTACCAGACGGTTCATTTCACTTTTGTTTATAGTAGTCACAAGCTAGAAAGAATCAAAACTATGCTAAGCTTTGGATGAACAAATAATTTCAACTACATTCATTTGATAAGATGCTACTGAGCAACGAACAAAACCAAGCTACTGTTCCATGAAACAACATGAACCTGGGAGCCTTAATCCTGACAGAAAGATACAACATTCAAAAGAGAACATAACATCTGCTCCCTATGTATGAAGGGGAAAAGCAGGCAAACTAGGCTGTCTTGATGGAGTTGAGAACAGAGGTTTACTTTGGGGAAGAATTAGCTGAGAGAGGAATAGAGGAGCCTTCTGAGTTGTTGCAAACATTCCGTGTCTTCACGCTCATGATAGGTGCATGTTCATGGATAGTCAGGATTTAGGAAAATTGAAACAGGTATGTTTAATCCAATAGAAAAAAAATAAAGACAAAGAACCCCTTTTAGACTCCACCTACTCCACCCCTGTCACTTTTTCCATATTAACCAGTTACATTTTCCCACCAGGACCCATGAGAATGATATATACGCTCAGCTCGTAGCACAACCATTGCTCTAGTTAGATGGGTGCTCAGTATTTGCTCCAGGAGCTGAAAATGCAAGTTCTGCATTGTGACCTGCTTAGATTTCCACCCCGAAGGACCAGAGCTCCATGCCCCCTCAGGGTTTCTGAAGCAAATACCAGGGAATGGGGATAAGCACCCTGAGGGTGGTGGGCAACACACTGAGTAGACAAACAAGAAACCATGTATGAAGGGGCCTTGATCTCCCCTGAGTTGAGGTATGGGCAATTTCTGCTTAGATGGTGCTGCTCCTCTCAGAAGAGCTTACAAGGGGAAACGTAGACTGCGCTGAGGACGCTACTGCCGCAAACCCCCATCGTGGGTGGGCATCGTCTCCCTGCACTGCATTTCCCTTCTCATAGAGAATAACTCATATTTTTCTGTAACAGAGAAGGAGGTGCATACATCAGAATGGTATGCATGCTTCCCTCTCAGACTGGACCCTGGACAGGTCTTTCTGAGGAGGGGTGGGGAGGACAGCGGGGTCAGTTGACGAGCTTGCTGGAGGAAGTCTGATGCCACCTACAGGCTGTGAGCAGCTGTGCACAGTGCTTTGCTGTCAGCATGCAAGCAAAATGGAGGGACTGGACTGTGGTGGCAGTTTGCAGGATAGCAGGCCTTTCTGCCTCGGCAGCCACAGGTCCGTGTTCCTTCTCTGGTTTGGAATGTGGGACACCCCTCTTCCTCCCCCCAGAGAGAGTAATCCCACCCCTTCACAAAGTGGGAAGGAGGAGCTGGGGATTTAGCTCAGCGGCACAGCGCCTGCCTGGCAAGCGCAAGGTCATGAGTTCGATTCCCGGTACTGGAAAAAAAAAACAAAAAACAAAACAAAACAAAAAAATAAAGTGGGAAGGGCCTATCCGGGCAGTTTGACCTCCCGGGTCAGAGCAGCCCCATCTGTCAGCATAGAGATATGGCTGGAACCTGGGAAAAGGAAATGGCTGACCTCTGGCTCCTCATATACCCCACTGAGCAGTGTAGACTGCTCATGGCATCTGCTGCCTTCCGTCCCGGGTGCTGAGCCTTTTCCAGGACTGACAACCTGCTCACGTCTTCAGCTAGTGAGTGGCAGGACAGGAAGTGTGATGTAGGCTCACTGTCCCTAGCATCTGAGTTCCCTTTAGGCCCTCTGCTGCCTTTCGCTGCCCCCACCTGGGAGTACACATGTGGCACCAAAGCCAGGAGATCCACAGGCTGGGCCCCTCTGAGCTCCACAGCAGCCTTCACAGGCCTCAACTGGATGTGTGCAGTTTTAACTTCCGATTTTGCATTGTGATGGTGGGGCCATCTGTTGTCTTGCAAAATGTGAAAGAAGCTCAGCCCTTTTGGCTGTGCCGTGGGGTCTCCAGAGAATGTGCATGTACCTGCTGCTGTCGGAGCTGAAAGCCTTCAAAACCTCAGCCTGACTACTCAGTGCCTGAGCCACCTTCCTTAGGATGTGGAGGCCCGCAGTGTACTCTGCTGGTCCTGGGTCAAGAAGGTTCCCTTCTCTCTTCCCCACATGCAGAGTTTCCCACCAGCAGCATCCCCTGAGATCCAGGCAGTTGGCTGTGAAAGCAGGTAAAGGGCAGCTGATCTTTGGTGCATCAGGACGGAGGCAGAGCGTGTAAAGGTGGACGCACAGCAATCAGTTCCCCAGACCCGGATGTTCATGGGCACCATGAGTAATGCCGATGCGTGTTCTTCTCTGCTGTATTATTGCCCGTTTGTCCACCATTGATGATATTTAGCAAATCTTAGGATTTTTTCTAGAGCTGTTTTACTCTCAAGATGTTTCTGATGTCCTTCACTTTTAGCTCTTCGGAATAGTTTTGTTTAGAGTCAGCACAGGTGTATGAGGGCCTGATTATCCCAGTGGGGTTTGTGTCCATTTGTGCCGTGACTGTGGAAGGTTGGGTATGGGGCGGGGAGATCATAGGCCAGCCGCCTTCCTCATTCCCAGAGGACCACACAGGAGCTTTGGCGTCTAGCCAGGACTGAGAAGAGAGGGACAACCATGTCTCTTAGAGGTGCTGATGCTCACACAGTGGAACAGAGTCCAGGCCTGTAGCTTACTGGGATTGTGAACATGCTGCAGATGTCAGAAAATTAACACAGAAGCCTGCGCTTAGGAAACTTGACATGGTGGGCAAAGACTGGCCAGTGCACAGACAAGTGACATAAAATAGGACACAGCAGAGAGAGTGAGAGTGTCCTTTCCACAGGGCATGTGCACATGACAGTGGGGCATTTCTGGGCGTCAGACACTGGTTTCTCAACAAAGTAAAAGGAAATCCACTGTCTCCTGGTCTTCAACCACCATTGCCCACATGGAGAAACCCAGGCAGGCTTGCTGGTCTTTCTTCCAGAATCCAGTGGACACAGGGAATGGCTCACCAGTGCCACGCCTCTCCTTCCCTGTGACAGTGAGGTGTCTCAGGGACCTTGGGTTTGGAGTGAGAAATGGACCCCCTTGAACAGCTCTGAGAGGGAGCCTGGCCTTATTGCCTGGAAGTGGAATAGGAATGCTAGAAGAATCAACAATAGATAGACAGACAGACAGACAGATAGATAGATATAGACAGATAGATAGATAGATAGATAGATAGATAGATAGATAGGGACCTGTACATAAACAAGGTGGGAGATCAGCTGAAGGGAACAAAGGACTTGTCTGGAGAAAGAGGTTGTTTCGTGTTGGCTTTGATCATCTCAATTTCCTCTGAAGCTTCTTTCATTCCTTTTCAGTTCCCAAAGTAATCGCACAACTGTTCCTAATGAATCACATTGGCTTTCTGTGGTAGTGCCCGGAATTCCTGACTCCTAATTTTCAGATTTTCTGAGTCAGTTGGTGAAATCGAGTCAGGGCTGGAAGAGATGGAAGCATAGGGTCCTTTCCCAAGTTTCAAAGCCATCACCCTTGAAGAATATGTGGAATCAGGCAATAGCAAACTATTGACGACCTTCCGAATTCTAAGCACAGTGTGCAGTTAAAAAATAAAGCACACAACTCAGGACAGTATTTTTTAATGAAGACATTAAATCAAGATGCTTCCTTCCAGGCATACAGATTCTTCATCATCTGTGCCCAAAAGTGCCCATCAATTAGCACCGCAAACTGTGAGCTTTCACTTTAGCAACCAGGGCAGAGAAATTTCAGATCAGCTAAAATCAAAGTACCCCCTAGTGGCTGGATGGGCTGGGCTAAGAATGGCTCCCAGTGAATCTTATATCCTTAGGAGCAGAGCCTTTTGCAAAGACAGTTTTTCTTCCTTTCATTCAGGGTTGAAATTTCTTTCCCCATGCAAGGCTCCTAGGCTGGCTTTGTAACTTATTTGGCCCAAATCATTATTTCAGATGTGACACTGCTTACTTGCTGACTAAGATGAACCATGTAAGATGCCTTGCAGCATCTGCCTTTGCTCTTTCGGAATCCTGAGCTCAGTGTGCTGGGAGGGTTTTAGGAGTGGAAGGTTAAGGGTGGTAGAAGGTCGGCCAGCCTGGCTGTTTCTGCCATTCCAGCTAGAAGCTGGCCCTCGGGACAGGATGTCTTAGTTCCCTCGCTCAGTCCCAGGTCAGCTGAGTTTGATACCACGAGTGAGCCCAGCAGAGACCAGGGGAAGAAACTCCCAGTCAACTCATACAATCATAGAAAGTCATAACTCTTTGTTGCTTTAAGGAACTGGGATTCAGGGTTTCTCAGCCATGGGTGAAGTGTGGGTGTTGGTGTGCTTCAGCCTTCTGTGTCCTCCTGAAGTGAAGCAATTTATTTGGATCATAGTGTTAAGCAAATTTCTCAACTTCTCTCAGTCTTGTTTGGCTTCAAAGTTGTGGTAAAAATAACAACTGCCTTCCTCAGCTTTCAAGTTGGTTACATAAGGTAATAGCTGCGTTTTTAACCAGCAAACTGTCACAGGAGAATGTCTAAAGGAAAAGAAAAGGACTCAAATGCCCCATTTTAATGAATGTGAAAGGCAGTAGAAAAGGTTTAAACACACCTAAAATACTCAAAATAGGGGCTGGGGATTTAGCTCAGCGGCAAAAGCGCCTGCCTTGCAAGTGCAAGGTTGTGAGTTCGGTTCCCGGTACCGGAGAAAAACCAAAAAAAAAAAAAAAAAAAAACCAAAAAAAAAAAAAAAAAAACTCAAAATGCAGGAGTCAACAATATTATATGAAAAGGCAACTCACAAGTGATCAGAAAAAATGGCCATTTTATTATAGAATCAAAATTGCACATAAACTCATGTTTCAAAAATATTCACTAAGCTACCAAATACCTTTATAAAATTCTTATCATAAATTGCATAAAATAGTGTATAAGACAATTGCATATACATTCTGTCTTCAGCTTACAAATTATATGTAAGCAAAAGCAAATGTATGGAAAGGACTACAGTTCAATTTTAATTAGGATTTTTAATGGCATTGTGTTCCTGCTTTACAGGAATGCATATATTTCTTGTGTTCCATTTTCCTCATTGTTCTACTGAGAGTGTAAGTTATTGCCATGGTCAGGAAAAATAGGTGGGTCAATAAGAATGTGCTTTTCTCATTCACAGTTATGAAGTAAGAACAACTGGGAAGCATGTAAATTATGTTGGGATAGTTCCTGTTCTTTTTCTTTGAACCTCTATCTGCAGCATGTTATGTTAGACTTAGCTTTTCCTTGTTCCTGACTCCAGACCTTGCTGAATGGTAACTTGTGGGAAATTGCAAAAGTACTCTAACATACTCACCTTCATGATGTGGTAGCACTACAATATTTCAAGAAACTTCTAGAAAGAATACATAACCACTAAATATTGCCTAGAGTTGTGGGGGTTCTATGGGCTTCTGTATGTTTTGTTTAGAGTCATTTAGGACTGTTTTCAATATCTTAGTACATTTTTCTCTGAATACCCCATAGATTTCTCTTTATAAAACCTCTTTGAAGTGCTGAGGATAGAACCTAGCACCTCAAGTTTGCCCAGCAAGTGCTGTAGTCCTCAGTCATACTCCCATACCACCTTTTCAGCCCTTGTGGCTGTCTCACTTTAGCCACTTAAACCACCCAAACTTTGTCTATATAACCATCATTTATTTTCCATCAGTTTGTGTTTTCACCAGAGTGTCTCCATCCAGCTGGACTTAGCTACAAGTACATCTGCTTGATGTGTGTGTCACAATGTTTATGAGGCCGAGAGGTTGGCCTACACGTGTCTTTCTCCTGATGCCTTTAGACCTATAAGAGAGCTCCCAGGGTAAAAGCTGCTGTCACGTGGATAAGTGTGGTAGCTTATTAACGACTCATGGCCAAAGTCAGCCTGAAGGGATGGAGAAGAAGTCCTCCTCAGTGTGAAGGGGCGCTGCAAATTTTCATGCACTACTAAGCAAATGGGCACACTGAGGGACAAAATACTGGGGATTGGACTAGATCTACTACATGAGTCTTACCCCCCCTTTATCCCATTAAAGTAGATGTATAGTCTTCCTTATTTTGAATTATCACTTATAATAAACAAATTTTGTAATCTGTAAAATATGATGGATACCACATCTATAATTACAATCACGTTCTGTATGCCAAATGAAGCATCCATTATATCAATGAACTCAGTAACCTTTTGAGGAAGTTATTATTACTATTGTTTGAGGAAAAAATGACAGTTTATGAATAATATGATCAGATAACTTTCCAAAGTGCTATAGCTACTGAGTGCCTGCTGTAGCCTTCAAAATCATGTCTGGCTGTCTCCAAATCTGACGGTCTTTCACAACCGAAGAAATTGTCCTTAAGTCAGTTTCTTTTCACTTGCTCCTTTTGACGTAAATACTATATTTACTGAATCACATTTTCTTAAGTTGCATGCTGGATTAAATATGCAAAACGAAGCAGACATCCTTCGCTTTCATATTTGTACCTCATTGCCATTGTGTCTTCACTGGATACATTGCAAGCTTCTCTACGTTGAAAATGACATTATTGGTTGAGGAAAAAATTACAAACAGCTCTAAAGCTACTGAGCTCTTCTTGTGTGTCCCTGTGCTCACATTCTTGTTCACACGTGTGTAGGGAATATAGAAGCAGAGCTGTCCCTATCCCCATTATTTCAGGTACAAGTGGGAAAATAATGGCCTTTGTGTATGTGAATCCCACATGCAATTTTGAAAAATTACTCCCTTGTCCATATTTTGCCAAGACTTAATTGAGACGCCCAGGGTACATATTCATGGTGTTTAACATCTGGTCAGTTTCTTGTGGTGCCTCTTATTTCAATAAAATTCCTGGAATATTTCCAAATGCAGTCACATCAATTCCCAGAATCCTTGTAATAGTTTACTTATAAGTGCAGGATCTAAAGATTAAAATGAGAAGCAGTATGTAAGCAAAACATTATTACAGTGGTGGCTGGTAGCAGGATTTGTGGCACTGCAAACTGGTCTGTTATTCTAATCACAGTGTAGCCATTTATTTAATTTCTTTTTTCCTGGGAGGAAATGCAGCCCAGCCCATTTATTGATGTTTATGTCATATGAGTCACTATGCTAGGCATCGGAGAAATCGATGAGTAGAATGTGATCTTTGCCCTTGAGGAACTCATAAGAAGAGAGAGCCATGATAGACAAGCTCACAAGGGTAACTGATCAGAGCTATAAGGTATAAAATGAATTCTTTGGAGGCCCAAAGATGCAAAACATGGTGAAATGTAATGAGCTATCTTTTGAGGCCTGAGAAAGATTTTGATATAATAGAGAGAATAAACATTCATGGGTGAATGAACAGCAAAAACAGATGCACTTACTCAAAAATATCAAGGTAAAGAAAGCTGTATGGGCACAGGATCATGGGACAAATGCAAGGGATATAAAGTATTTAGATTGATTTAAAAAAGGCAAGGAGTAAATTGGTTCAAGAGTGGAGGGTTAAGCACCCTAGCAATTTGAACTCTGTTAGCAGTAGTCTCTTGCTCTCTTTGGCTGCGCATATACTAAAATTAGAATGATATCAGTAGTCTCTGAATACTATTTTGTTTTTCTTACATGCACAGTTAAAACAACTGAGCATATGCAGTCAACATCAAAATATGAATACTTACTAACAAAATAAAACCGTCCCTCAGTATCTCAGGAGGTACGTTTCAGGATCCCTGCATGTACTGAACCAGAAGATGCTCAAGTCTCTGACATAAAATGGCACAGTATTTACACATAACCTATATATATCCCCCTGGATACAGTAAATCATCTTTCTATTATTTAAAAACCTAATAAAATCAGGAAGTAGAGTAAATAGTTGTTATGTTGTATTATTTAGGGAATAATAACAAGAAAAAAGTCACTTGTTCATTGCAGATGCTTTCTAAAAATACTTTTGAGGCACAGTTCATTAAATCCATGGATACAGAACCCACTGATAAAAAGGGCTACTGTGCCTTCACAGACTACAAATGAATTGTGTTACTAAACACCTACAGAAATACTTTGTCAAGTAAAGAAAAATAAACCATTTAAAGATCATTAATCTGTCAACTTTGGTTTTTCACAGTGAGAATAACTTACTGAGAAAACAGTTACACTTCATTATTATTACCATTTGAATTATTCTTGAGTGATCGCTGATGCAGCAATTCAAAACACTAGTACAAATTTCTAAACGTTTATTATTCATAGTGAATTATTTGAAAAAATAACTCAGAAAAATGTGGATTTATCTAAAAGAAACATTTCAGAGTATACATTTTCAATACCTGATATCATTTATGCAAATTATGTTGCTCACAGCAAATTGCTACCTATTACCTCAGATGAAAACAATGCTAATTAGAACTTACATTTTTATATTTAATAAATTTATTTCTAAACCATTGCTGTGATTTTCTTAGAATATAGAACAGCAAAAATTGTTTTAAATATGTACAAGTTAAGAGGAGCTTTACAAAAATATTTATATTGTTTTCAAGAAAGAAATCTAAATCACATGATGATGAAAACATTTCAAACATCCATGTTTAAAAAGTTCTCTCAGTAGCATAAGTTTCTATCCTTTTGCCTTTTGCCTTCATATTTTATTCACTATTGAAATGGTAACATATCACTTTACTGTGGAAATTCAGATTAGTGTAAGGTTCTGATAGGAAGGAGATTGTTCATTCTGGTATTTTGTCAATGTTTTTATTTGTGTTTCAAAATTACTGTTATATAACGTATGTGGCCCATACTCATTAAAATCTTTACACCCTTTGTCCACTTTGTGACAAGTTAATTCATATTAGATTAAATAATATGAAAATACAGTTACATGAACATAAGGTAAAAGCAATGTGTAACATTATGTTGACATTAAACCACACAGTGAAATTTGTGGAGCCACCTCTTTTCCCTGGGGATACCTTGACATCTCTAAAAAGCTAGAAGAAACATATTTGTATGGTGATATTATTACCAATGAGCATATAAAATATAAATAATACTCATCTATTCTGACTTTAACTAAAATTAATACCTACTTATATACACATAGATTTTCTGATATATTCTTGTACCCTGTAGTATTGGAAGAAGTACCATTGGATTCAACAGAACCTGAGATCCCACAATCAAAACCACTTCCTGAAGGTAGGATTGGTCATATGAATACTGCAAGATTCATCAAGTCATTAATATTATAATTTTCTACAGACACATTATTGGTACTTATCTAAAGTCCAATTCTAGTCTTCTGCGTATTCATTATTGAGTAGGCTTAGTCTGTGTTGAAAATTTATGTGTTACAAGAATAAGAAAAAAGTACCTTATACAATAGAATTAATAGAGTGAAAGTAGGAGGACTCACACTATGTGAACTTAGTAACAGTAACCACTCATGGAAAATTATTCTAGCTCTATGAATATAGTAACACAACCATATTTTTAGGTGAATATTTTTCAGAGAAAAGCAAAATCAATTTACATGCGATTGTGTGTGGATCTGAAGGCTAAAATTGTGCAAAACAGTTGTAGACCATATAGGTTTTCCAAATTGAAATAATATAATTCATAGAAAATGTTTTGGAGACTAAGACAGAAGTTTTGACATTGGTCAGATAATCCAGAAAGAGAAAAAATGGAATACTTTCTTCATGCACTCAAACAAGCTCGTAGTAAATGGGATTAACAAATTTTTACATATTCTTACAATTACTGAGTTATGGGTGGCACTCACATTAACTAGTTTGAAAGTGATTTCAGAGAAGTATTTATAAATTAAGTGGAGTGGATCTTACAAATAATAGAAACTTACAGTTCAGTGACCCTTCCCCAACATGAGCAAGCAAACCTGCACCAGGCAAGTAGAGCCTGCCACTCTTTGCAAGGGTGAGACTATCCGCCTGATCCATGTTGGCTTCATATTTTGCTTCCCTTTGGCATGGGGCATCAGAGGTGAGGACTAACCGACTGACCTGATCTTGGATGAAGAGAATATCCAGGGAGGGAAGGGAACAACAAAATCCCATGACTGTCAAAATTAAGTTCCACAGTTCACTTAAACCCCTGACCAGAGGACTGATCCACCAGCAAGAGCAAGGACATGCCATGGCTTGGGCAGTAACCAAACGGTGAACTCAGAAAACCACAGGCCCTAATGCTAGACAGACAAAGTTGTGACTGGCTGAAACCCAAGACTGCAAATCTTGGAAAGAAACCACTCATTCAAAAAAATAGGAGTAGTTTTCTTTGACTCAGTCCTTTTGTATATTTCTATTTTTTAAAATTTCTTTTATTTTTCCTTCATTTTTTTTTTTGAGAGGGAAAGGGCTTGTATTTTTTTCTTATTTCCTTGTTTTAGTTTTTCATCCTCTTCCTTTACCCTTCCAAAATTTTCCCATCTTATTTTTCTTTTATTTTCTATATTTTGCTGTTTATTTTTTCTTCTTTTCTTTCTCATGCTTTCCTGTGGCTGTTCTCTAGCACTATTAGTTTTCTTTTGCTCTTCAATAGAGCCGACTGTCTCACTTCTATCTCCTCCTTCTCATATTTCATTGATTAATTTTTTTACATTTTACTTTTTTCATTCTCCTATTCCCCACCACCTCTGCCTTTACTAGTATAATTACTACACCTTATGAATGTCTAGATAGATAGCTAATTTTGTACTACTGTGATTGAGTACTGTTCTTCTTTAAATAGAGTTATAGTTGATTAATTTAGCAGATATTTACTGCAAGTCAATATTTGGTTTGACTTCGTGTTTATACTATAATTATAGGTCTTTTTTGTATGGCTGAGGGTGGTACATTAATACTTTCTAGGGTTTATAAATATTCAGTCACTCAGTTTGCATGCTATAATTAGTGCTGATTTTATTAATATAGCCGAGGTCACATAGCTGTTACTATTGGTTTCTTTGAGATGCCACTATCCGGATTGTTTTGGGGTCATTAATAATACTGTGGCCCATTCCTTGAAAACAGTACTTCACCAAATATACTGCAACCTCTCATCCCAAGTAAACACAAGTGTATGGCTCCTGGGACAGAGACAAAGGCCAATAGTTACCCATGCTAAGAGGACACCACGATAATTAGAAATGAAGTAAAGAAGTGTCCTTGTTAGAAAGAAAAGCTTTCCACTGTTATCAACTCACACAGTTAAACACAACAACAGAGAAAATTAGAGAAACAAGCCATAAAATACCTCCAAAACTCCCAACTCCCAAAAGCTGATCCATTGAGCATTAAAGGGGAAGAAATCTAAAGCCACATACACAAATTATTCAACATGATATCAGAAGAGATACCAGAACAAATCAACAAGACATTTGATAAGCTCACAAGAGACATAAGTAAACAGATACTGGGTCAAGTATAACGATCATCAAAAGTGTACAGAAGACAATAAGAAAAAGGTAGCAAAACTAAACTAAATGATGCAAAATATGAATTACCAGCTTAGAAAAGAATTAGAGTACACAAATTGGATTTCTGTTTTCACATTGAAATTCAGGATATTAAAAATTCTGTTAAAAGTATGGGCATCAGAAGTGACCAATGTGAGGACAGAGTGTCAGAGCAGAAAGACCAGGCTGTTTTCAGTGACCAATAAATGAAAGATACTTTAAAAAAAGAAGAAAACAAGGGTCTGGGGATTTAGCTCAGCGGCAAAGCGCCTGCCTGGCAAGCACAAGGTGGTGAGTTCGGTTCCCATTACCAGAGAAAAACAACAACAACAAAAAAAAAAAAAAAAAAAATCCAGTGGTTCCCAGATGACACAGAGACTAAGTGAAGACTAATTGGAATTAGTGAAAAAAATTTTAAAATCAGAGCATAGTACAAATCCTAGAAAATCCAGTTTAATGAAATAATATCAGAACACTTTACAAATGGGGAAATTTTTAACACACCAATGAGTGAGACATACAGCCAAATAGCCACAATCACAATACAACCTCTCCACATATCATCATAGTCAAAATCTTGAAAATCTAACACAAGAACAAAATTATAAAAGCAGTTAGAAGCATTGAATAATTTATAGAGGAAAACCCACTAGAATTTTGTTTTGTTTTGTTTTGTTTTGTTTTTGTTTTTCTCCGGTACCAGGAACCAAACTCACAACCTTGCACTTGCCAGGCAGGCGCTTTTGCCACTGAGCTAAATCCCCAGCCCCAGCCCATTAGAATTACAACAGGCTTTTCAACACAAACCTAAAGCCCTGGAAAGCTTGGTGTGAAGTGTTTCAAGCTTTAAAAGGAAACAGTTTTTACCCCCAGCTGATATATCCTGCAATATTATCTTTCAAAGTTGATGGAAAAATGAGATGCTTTTATGATAAAGAACCCTTAAAAAATTCAAGATCGCACAAACAGCACTCCAAAAAATTTTGAAGGATATCCTAGAATGAGACAACAAAGCTAACAATGACAAAAGGTGCAATCATTTGAATACACCATGTAGGGTGAACAGTTAAGTAGATAGAAAAGTTAGGGAATCAGCAATACAAAAATAAAACAGTGGGAAGAATAAGTCAATAGGAATCAGCAGTAACTCTCAAGGTGACTGGTTTCAATTCCTCAGTGAAAAGACACAGATTGGTAGAATGGATCAATAAATAAAATCCAAAGATATGCTGTGTATAAGAAACACATTTAGCACAAAAAGCAATTTACAGACTAAAAAATCAAGGGATGTAAAACAATATTTGGTGCAATGGGAATACCCCATAAAAAAGCAGGTATAGCTATATTCAGACGTAGTAAACTTCAAGCAAAAAATGATCAAAAGAGGCAAACGGGGTCACTACGTATTGGATGAGATAACAATTATTAACATAAGTACAACAAACAATGCATCTAACTTCATAAAACAAGGACTAGTGGACATAAAAGACCACAAAAACATAAACACAATTGTATAGGGGATCTTCAATAACCCTATCACAAATAGATCAACTAGGCAAAACATCAAGGAAGAAATATCTGAGTTGACTAAAACTTTCAAGCAAACAGACTTCATAATTATCTACAGAGTGTTCCACCCAACAACAGAAAACACATTATTCTCAGTAGCACATGAAACTTTCCCCCAAACAGACTACATACTAGCCAATAAAGCAAGCTTAGGTAAATGTAAAAGAATTTAAATTATAGTGTATATATTATCAAATCAGAGCATGATGAAACTAGAAATCAATGACAAAAGAAAACAGAGAAATTATGCAAATGTAGGGAAACTAAACAATACACTCTTATGTTAAGCCATGGGTCACAGAAGAAATCAAGGAAGAAATAGATAGTTTCTACAATGGAACCAGTCCTAAGAATGAAGTTTATAGCTGTGAATACCCAAATCACAAAAGTAGACTGAACCCAAATAAATAACATAAAAATAAACCACAATGTTAATGTTTCCCTCCTTTTATCCTTAAAAAAAAAAAAAATAAATAAATAAACCGCAAGTCTCTAGAAAAGCAGGAATAATACAAATCCAAAAGCAGGTACCAGGAAGAAAATTGTAAAGATAAAATTAGAAATAAATGAAATTGAGACCAAAAAATTTCAATGAAAAGAATCAGTGAATAGAAGACTTGGTTCTTTGTAAGAATCAACAAAATAGATAAACCCTTAGCCTTTTTTTTTTTTTTTTCTGGTACCAGGAATCGAACTCACGACCTTGTGCTTGCCAGGCAGGCGCTGTGCCGCTGAGCTAAACCCCCAGCCTCTCTTAGCCTTTATAACCAAAATTAGGAGAAAAAAAACCCAAGTCAGTGCAATTAGAAATTAAAATGATGAAATCACAATGCACACTGCTGAAATTAAAAAAATATTAACAACAACTTCACAAACCTGTATGCCAATAAATTGGAGAATTCAGAAGAAATGGATACATTCTTAGCTATGTATGAGTTACTGAAATGAACCAGGAAGGCCTAATGCCTTGAATAATCCAGTAACAGTAGTAATGAAAAATCTGTCAATTCAGAAAAGCTTAGGTATGAATGGATTCATTGCTGAATTCTACAAATACTTAATGGGAAATCTAACACAGATACTTCTCCAGCTGTTTAATAAAATTGAAAGGGAAAAAGTACTCCCAAATTTATTCTTGGAAACTAGCATTAACCTGATTCCAAAACCAGAC